TGGGGAGTTCAAAAGCCAATTTTAGTGACCGATTTAATGATGAAGTTTCTCCTTTTGGGTATGGAAAATTAGTAATGTGGTTAAATGGTGCACAAATGTTTGCCGTAAGATGTACATGTGTATTAGCAAACATGGGTATGATTATTCAATATTTCAGGGCTCCTTATTACGGAGTCGGAACTTCCGTAATTGGACCTCATTGAGTACCGAGACACGATCAAGCCAGGTCCTGCATTGGCCGGATAGGAACAGCAAGTCCGCCGGAGGAAGACACGGCTACCTACCTGCCTCTCGGTCTACTTAGTCCAGCCCCGACTCACCTGCATCATCCTTGCCGAGGATCAGCTAAGAGTCAAGCAACAGCGGCACATCGGACAAGTGACCAACTCTCCCTTTGAACTGTCCGAATTTGGGCTAGTGGTAAACTAGCCCATCAGCTTTCTAGTTTCTATGAAACCCATTTTTTTTTTTTTACTGTTGATCTTCTGTATTTTGCTCCCCCTTCTTTCAATTGTTTTTGTGGTTTGTATATTTGTAAATAAATTAGTTTCTATTGAATTTTTAAGTTAAATTATCTGCTTGAGTGTACTGCATAATTTACCATGCACACATTGCGTGTCAGAGGGTAGGGGGACCCGGGCTTGTGACAGGAGGAAATAAATGTGTGTGTGATTGATTGATTGATACCAAACCCAGTTTTGCCAGGGGCTGTCCTGCCACTTCTTTTCTGTTATAATTATATTACATTATTTCATATAAATATTGCAGGTTAAACAGTGTAAACTAATTTACAAATTTTTATGGAAGGTTTTAACTTTTGCCTGTCCAAGAAACTCTGACTTCACATCAGATTCAAATCAGAATCAAATTTTTGTCTGAAGCTGTCAGATCGGATTGACCTTCTCTAATCTGATATAACATGCATCTTTAGTTAAAATGTCAACTGAAATTCTGTTCACCATGCAAAGGCATGGCCAGCATCGGGGGAATCGGGGAGAGGAAACAGGCTTTAAAACTTGTTAGTGGCAAACTGTTAAATAATGGTGAAAAGGGGTCAATTATGAGTTTGTTTTTCCCCTTTTTGGTTTCTCTTGCCTTTTCCTTTCCGTTATTTCCCTTTACCTGTAAGAGAGCCCAGTTATTTTGGCCAATCCCAAAGCTGGGATGGGAGGGGGGAGAATTCCACCCTCCCCCAAGAACTCCACTGTGCCACATCTTTTTTGTCTATTTGACATGCATGTGCAAACACTCCTTATCATTACAAAGGCAAAGTTTGAACTCAATCAGTTTTGGTTTTGTTGTTACCGTCACTTGAAGTTCATGGTTACATGCATGCCAGTACGTGTACATTGAGCAAAAAAGTATACATTTTTGGCTGAACCGTCTTGGGAAAATGCCTGCTGCTCCAGAACAATATGTTCAAGTTTTGCAAAAATGGTGTCAAAATGACTGCAAAGGCTCAACTCCTGAGAAAAATGAATTCTGGCGATATCAGGAAAAAATGTTGAGGGGGGGCAGACTCCCCTCGGCTCTTTTAGGATTAGTATTTTCTTCTTGTTTTGAGGGGAAGCAAGCATCTTCCTTGCCTATGATGATTATGGCAGTCTTTTGGATGGGAAACTAATCTACTTAAAATGAGTATATAACATCCTAAACCAAAAGCAACAATGATAAATGACATGGATATAACGTAACATGATGACTGTAAATTTAACATTTTAACATCCAGGAAACATGTTGGATAGCCTGGTGTTGGTGAAAAAAACAAGTGTTAACAAATACTCACTGGATAAGCTCTCTCTGTCACCAAGCGATGAAGAATGTTCTTGTCAAAGCTAGAATACAAATTAAATAAAAGAAATTCAAACATGTTTTTTTCTTTTTGCATTACTTCCTGAACATGAATGGGATTCTGGTATTAAAGTGTGTTAGATTATTAGAAGGTTTTCAACTCCCTTTTTTTTAAAACACATTAACACGTTAAAGAACAACATTTAGGTAAAGGGTGAAGCATAAATCTGCTTTTGTACGCTAACCTATTGACAGACATACATGTACATATTATAACATAGGACAATACAAGACATGAACATGTTTTGGCAATAATACACATACGAACAAACATTGACAGGCAGGAGATGATACAATGCATCAAAATACAATTCTAGTCGGTACAGGTGATGTATTCAGAAAGTATTAGATTTTTCAACTTTAGAGCAAATGTTAATAAAGTGGGCGCTGCTTTTATAATTTCATTAAGCCTATTCCAGTATTGGACACCTTGTTGTACAAGACTATTTTTGTGTCGTGAAGTTCTATCGGCATCAACATATAATTTCTTTTGAGAGGTACTTCTGGTATGAGTGAACATTTGAGGTAAGTTTAAAGGATGATTTAAAATAAAGTGGCAGCTTATCATTCATACATTCATTCATAAATTTACCTAACTAATATTTATAAAGGTCAAATACCTTTAGCACTTTATGTTTAGAGAACAATGGGGCCGTGTGGTCATAATATCCAGCCAATGTGAGAGCTTTTAAATGATTTATAGCTTGGCTTCGAAGGTGCCCTATGTTTTGAGATCCTAGTATTGAAGTTCAGATGTTACGAAACTTAGTCAAAAATTGTTAACGTACATTTCAAACACTAAGGAGTGAAATTAGAAAAAAGAATGACTGTTTTTGCAAAATTGCAAAAAAAACCCAAAAATTCTATTTTTGGAGGTTACTCATATGAGCCAATCATCACACCAAATATTGTTCAAGTTTGTGAGGATTGGGCGCAGAATCATGTTGAATGGAATGACACAAGATCAAGATCTATTTCTGTCAATTTTTTTTTTTCAACTCAGATCCTGCACAAGATCTAGAAGCTTCAGAGAATCATCTCCATGGCAATGCAAAGTACAGGGAAGCATGAGGCTAGCAATCTTAAATCTCTAAGAGGGTCCCGTTGCTAGACAGAATGCGGAAGATAGGGCTAACGTCACGTCACGTCACTTGCTCGAATCGATGTTGTTAAGGACTTTCGTGACCACAAGACTGTAAGCCTACATCTATAAATTCTGTTGATCCTGATGACCCTTGCAATGACTGAGATGATTTATTTGGCATCACTGGCATCTATGCAGCAACTACCTTACCATGCGCACAATTTTTTAAAACTCTCAGAAACTCAAGACGATTGATTCAAGTTCTGATGATTGAACTTGGAAAATTTAGTTCTGTTTGTTTGGCCTGAAAGAACTTAAGAACAAACTGGAGGCTAAGGATCTGCGGTCAATTAGAGGTTGTCTTTGGCAATATCCAATCCGCTTTGTCTTCAAAGAATTTCGGGAAGCTGAGAATCTGGTGATCGACAGAAAGAAGATACCAGTACGTATCATCATCACCGATATTAGCTAAACCGGTTGGGCAACCGTATCCCATAACCAGACCAGAAAAATTTCGCCCGAACAGCAGGAAAGGGTTCCGCCTGCGGAAGAGGCAGCACTAAAAACATAGGGGAACAAAAGCATCTGTGACATCACGATGTGCCAGAATGAGGCCCGAAATTTCCAGATCCTGCACATCATCAGCTTTTTCGATGTACATCATTTCTCCCTTTTGTCTCCTTGGGCCCCCTTTTTTTAGTTTTTTTTTTATTCAGCTGACCCCGTGCTCTGACCACATTCCTATGCCATCCAATTAAACCATGAGAATATACAGACATATATATAAAGTGTCCATGTGTTTTTTTTGAAGCAGTTCATCCACACCAAACTGTTTTTCATGCGTTTGAGCAAAACGAAATAGCACGAAAATTAAGTTTTGTTTGGCCTGCCATACCTTGAACATACCATGCATTCTTGTTATTCGTCCTTCCACTTTGCTCTTTGTTACTCATGCTAGCATTTCACCATAAATCGATTTCTGTGAGCCCATGTATACCATTCAGGTCCAAGCACTTGCTGAGTTTGTTCGATTCATTGACTGCCTTCCTCATTGTTATTGTATACGTGTCAAGATCTACTCTAATTCCTCGATGTTCTCCAGGTACTTGACTGCCTGAACTGCATTTTAGAACCACGACAGTCTAACAAATTACTAGTTAAAGGAAGACTAAAACAACATGCTCAGTTTTGGCGCGAGAGGTGTATCCAATCTAGTACAGTCTATTACTGAGAATGGGCATGTTATTCCATTCACTGTTGACCCACCCCTGATGTCTTTTCAGAATAACAAGTCAGCATCATGTGAGGCTAAATTTGTTTCAGAAAGTATTCTAGAATTTATACCTGCCTCTTCACGCATTTCTCAAATAATATGTCGGTCCTTTGTAACTAGTCCATTGTCAGTTGCTGTTTCTTCTGCCAATACAAAAATTCTTGACCTCAGTGCCTTAAACCAACTTATTCCTAAAAAGCACTTCAAACTGACAATTGGAAGTCCAATGCTCTCATGTTTTCTTTTGATCTAAAATCGGGTGATCACCATATTTCACCATTTTCTCAGTACTATTTAGGTTTTTTCTTGTGTATTAATGGTGTCACTCGGTATTTTGAACTCAATGTTCTACCATTTGGTCTCACAACAGCTCCCTACATCTTTACAAAATTATTGAAGCCTTTAGTCAAACAATGCAGAGCATGCAAAATTTTGGTTGCTGTGTATTTGGATGATGGGTTCGTTTCTATTCCCTGTCCAGAGGATGCCTCTATGCATACCTCAGTTGCCTCTCCTAATTCTAACGATGTTAGTTCAGATTTATTAAAAGCAGGCTTCATTTACAACATCTCTGTAAGCAGTTGGAATCCTACTAATAGTGTTGGTTAGTTGGGCATAAAATGGGATATGAAAGTAGGCACGCTTGAAGTGTTGGAAAAAAACACACACAAACTTCTTAAAATGGTCTATTGACATTCTCGTTCAGCAATTTTCAGGCCTAACCATCAAAGGCTTGCATTCATTTGTTGGGCATATCCTTGTTGCCAGTGCTGGGTAGTGTCACTAGATTGATGACACGCCATTGCCAAATGGTGATTGCACAGGCGATTTCTGTGATACGATTTTGGAAAGACAACATCAGCCAGTTAAATATTCGTTATGTGTTGCTCACCAAGTTCTCAAAAGAGTAGTGTGTTCCAATGCTAGATCCTCTGGTGCAAGGGCTGTGGTTTGTAATTATAAACACACTGTCCAAATTCGTTGGACCCCTCTAGAGTAACCCAAAGGTTCTACTGGTACTTGGCGGAGCTTGAGGCAATCAGATTTTCTCTTTTATCATTTCTTCTGATAATTTCATCTTTCAATCTGAAATTCTTCAGCGATAGTCGGAGCACTGCTAGAATAATTGATTGTTGTAATATGAAACCGGAATGGCAGGATATTGCATTTGATATTTTTTAAATTTGTCTCAGTAATTCTATCCGAATTGACGTCTTCCAAGATCCCAAAACGATCAAGCAGACTCTACTGGTAGACTGGTCCCTTTCTGATGAATTTTCTCTAGAACAAGTAATTTGTGGAGCCCATTTACAGTGGATTGCTTCACCAGTTTCTATGATACAAAGTTGCCCCGTTTTTGGAATCCCGGCTCACTTGCCGTAGACTCGTTTGCACAAGTTTGGTTCCATGAAAATGCCCTTGTAGTTCTTCCTGTTGCTCTGGTACCTACCACACTTAAACATATGCAGTTATGTGCGGGAGGAGTCCTCGAGGTCATACTTACCAAGACAGTTACTACATATACATATTTCCTTTGTGCTCTTTTGCTATTTATTAAATATTATATCAACCGTAGTGCGCCCCCTATTGGTCAACCCCTGGTGTAGTCATCGCCATGTTCGTCCTTCTTTTTCTGAGATGGAAGGATGCCAAGCTGAAAGTGGGGAGGACAAGATGGACTCCACTGTATTGACATGGAGATCAGATACATCAGAAAGCGGCTTGAAGGGGGACTGGCAAGAACGCCGAAGATGCTTCCAAGGTCCCAGGATAGAACAAGGTGTTTGATATGAGGATGCTTGACAAACATTCCTCAAGGAAGATGGTGGATGGCAGTGTTATCAGAGACCGTCGATCCACTGCTGAAGCCCGAATGAAGCCCGAAGGTGTCAAGGCCGACCAGTAATTGCAGATGGTAGGAATCTGGAGGCCCAAGTGGAACAGATACCTGAATAGCTTACGATTGAACTCACAGGAGCTTCGTTTGGAGAAACATCATGGTCATCGCACCATCTATTAAACTGCTGTAGTCGGCTGCTGTAAATTTTGTGAGTAGACAGGCGTTAACCCCGGGCTGCTATGGATGCAGCATCTCCAGAAAGGCCCAACGCTCTGAAGGGTCATTGGTCAACATCTAGCACCTGAAGTGAAGACCCCAATGTGCTGGATGAAGGACCCCCAACTTGGGTTGACGAAGAATGTCCTCCCTGGGCAGAAGGACCAGCGGCCATTGTACCACGAGTCTTGTCAGTCTCAGAAACCACGGTTGGCAAGGCCAGAACGGGCAATGAGCAGGACCCGACAAGGCTCCTGTTCTATCTTGGACAGGATGCGTGGGAAATTGAAGGAAAGGCGTATGCCAGAAGAACCGACCAGTCGAATTGTAGGGTGCCTGTCACCCATGCCCATGGGTGAGGGAACCTGGAACAGAACTTCAGGAGACAGGTTTTGTCGGTGGAAGCAAAGAGGTCAACACGGGGATGCTCGATCTCCGCAAAAATATGGCTGACCACGCTCGGGTGAAGAATCCACCCTGTTGGTCGGATGGTGCCCCGAGAGAGTGTGATTGCTATGCTGTTGCAATTCAAAATATATGTGTAAATGGGCGCCGTCATGTATCAGATAGA